CCGGGGGGGGGGGGGGGGGGGTAGAGAATAGAGCAAAATAGGCCTTAGGTTTAGGCATGGGCGGCCTATCGAGGGTTCGCCTACTGTTTACACGCCTGTCCCATCTCCAAACTTGGCCCGAAATACCCGCTACTGCCGTGTCAACGCTCCCGAACGGCTACGCTCCAACCCTGCCGCCGCCATTTCCCATTGCCTGCCTTGTGGGTGATTCTGTCGTGTGTTTTGGTTGTTTTGTTGTTTCTTTCAAGATGTGGTCCACGCGAAGTGGCTGGAACAGCTTAGGGTTGTGTGGCAAGGAGACAAGAAGGAGGAGGAGGAGGAGGAAGGGAGTCACCAGCGGTCGTCGCCCTCCTCCGGCAAGGAAGCAAAGCAGCAGTCGCCACCTTCCACCGATGAAAAGGACAAGGCCACGAGCAAGGAGGGCGAGGACAGCAAGGACAAGAGCGAGGACGGCGATACGGACACGGCGGAGAAGAAGCCGTCGGGTGGGGACTCCGTACCACCGGAGGGGGAGGAAGGGTCGGGAAAGGACAGCGACGGCGTGGCAGAAGCAAAGCAGGACGAGGGGGCGCCGTCATCGACGGAACAGGGGGGTGGGGGGGTCCCGGAAGAAGACGTGTCTTCGGAGGAGAACAAGTCTGGGGACGGTGATGGTGGTGGCTCGGGAGACAGGCCGGTGGCGGGTGTGACTGATCCTGCGGCAGCGGAGGGGGCTTTGACGGCCGGCCGTCGTGCCGCAGGTAAGGTTTCGCATCCTCTCTGTTTAGCCCGAACTGTTCTCTCAAAACATTTTGCCCTCTCTATCCCATCCCGAACCCTTTGACGAGGTTCTCTCAAGGCTCGTTGCCCTCAAGCGATGCTGTATCTGTTTTGTGTTCACGCTGCTTGCTTGGGTTGATGTCAGTCACGCCTGACTTCCAGTGCCGTGTTATTTGCCGACCTACGTGCCACGTGCTTTCGGTCCCAAACGCTCGCTGTTCTCAATGCGATCCAGCCCTCCCTACCTTATAGTGAAGGCCAGCACTTGCTGCGGTTAAGGGTATTCTTGAGTCGAAATCGATATTTCTACCCTCCTTCCTCGCAAGGTGTGTCGCATGCATTGTGTTTCTCAGGGTGTGTTGCCCGAGAACGCGAACACGAACTCGACTGGTTTGCATGTGAAGGGGAATGATGGCGCCCCCCGCCCCCCCCCCCCCCCCCCCCCCCCCCCGGGGGGGGGCCCCGGCCCCCCCCCCCGAACTTTTCCCCCCCCCCCAAAAATTTTTTTTTCCCCCCGAGGGGGGCCTTTTTTTTTGGGTTTTTTTTTTTCGCGCAAAAAACCCAACCCGGGGGTGTTCCTTGGGAGGGGGGGTGTTTTTCTTCTTTCAAAAAAACCCAAAAATCTTTTTTTGGGGGGCCCCGGGGGGGATCCCCCCGACGGGCCCCCCCCCCCCCAGGGGGAAAAGGGGGGGGGGGG